GCCGTTCTCAGGGCAGTCTGTGATCAGGTGATTGTCGAAACGGTCGGCATCGGCCAATCGGAGGGCGACCTGAGGCAAGTGGCGGACACGGTTGTGTTGTGCATCCAGCCAGGATCGGGGGACAGCCTGCAATTCATGAAGGCCGGAATAATGGAACTGCCCGATGTGGTGGCCGTTACAAAGGCAGACATGGGTGCGCTTGCGCGGCGGGCAGCCTCTGACGTTTCCGGCGCCTTGTCTCTAGGGGCGGTACCCCGGTCATCCTGGAATGTTCCCGTTGTGGAGGTTTCATCGCAGACGGGCAGCGGCGTGACGGACCTTGTGGCAAGCGCGGACGCGCATTTCAACACTCTCGTCGAAAAGGGTCTCGATGATATCCGTCAAAAGCAACATGTCTTCTGGTTCAAGGACATGGTGCGCACCGAATTCGGGCTGGCAGGACTGGATATGGCAGAACGCAAGGGCGGAGAGGATTGGTTGTTGCTCGCCCGGCGCCGGCCGTTTTCGAGTTTCCATTCCTTTGCTTCCCTGATCCGGCAACGCCTTTTCTGAGATGCACTCAAATCAACCTTTGGCGCTTTGAGCCTGGAGTTCGAACCCGTCGGGCAACTCACCTGCGGTAATTGCTTGAAAGTTCTCCAGGAACTGGCTCAGTGCCGTGCTGGTGAGCGGCCTTGAGATGAAATAGCCCTGCATGCGATGACAGTCGTGCGCCTGAAGGAAGCGGATCTGGTCGATGGTTTCGATGCCTTCCGCGACAATCGTCATGCCGAGCGCCTTGCCGAGCTGGATAATGGAAACCAGGATGGCTTCCGCTTCCGGGTTGCCGTTCATGTCAGAGACAAAGTCCCGGTCGATCTTCAGCGTATCGAACGGAAAGCGGCGCAGATAGCTCAGGCTGGAGTAACCCGAACCGAAGTCGTCCAGCGCGACTTTGACACCAAGGCCCTTCAGCCTCCTCAGGGCATTCAAAACCGTGTCATCCCGTCCGGCAAAGACGCTTTCGGTAACTTCGATTTCCAGCCTTTCGGGCGGCAGGTTGTTTGCTGCCAGAATAGCCATGACCTTTTCGACAAACCGAGGATGCTTGAACTGGTTGGGCGACACATTGACAGAGACGACGACACCCGGCCAGTCGTGCGCGCGCGCGCAGGCCTTGTTCAGAACCCAGATACCGAGATCGTTTATCAGTCCGGTTTCCTCGGCCACCGGAATGAACTGGGACGGGGGCACCACCGTGCCGTCGTCCTTGGTCCATCTGGCAAGAGCTTCGACAGAGACGATTTTCTTTGCGTCGGTGTCCGACAGGGGTTGATAGGCCAGATCCAGTTCATCGTTTCGCAGAGCCAACCTGAGTTCCCGGGACATCTTGTCCTTCGACTGAACATGCTGCTCCATCGTCGGTTCGAAGAACGAACGCCTGTTACGACCGTTGGCCTTGGCGTCATAGAGCGCGATATCGGCCTTGCGCAGCAATTCGTCCGGGTTCTTGCCGTCCTTGGGGCCAATAGCTGCACCCATCGACAGGCTTGCAAACAGTTCGCGCCGGCCGATCATGACAGGGCGCGATATCTCGTCCTGTACCTGATCGAGGATATATTCCAGCCATTCGTCATTGTCGCAGTCGCTGATCACCATCGCGAATTCGTCACCGCTGATGCGGGCAACGATACCGTTGTCCGGAAGCACGTGTTTCAGGCGATTGGCAACGGCAACAATTACCTTGTCCCCGGCAGAATGTCCAAGCGTGTCATTGATGTCCTTGAAGTGATCCAGATCCATGTAAACGACAGCAGTGCTGGTGCCCTTTTGCGCACTTTCTTCCAGGACCCTGGTGAGCATTGCCTGAAAACTTGATCTGTTCGGAAGGCCGGAAAGGGCATCATGCTGTGCAGAGTGAACCGCCTTGGCTTCGCTTCTTGCAAGTCGTCTGGTCATTTGCCGCGTAAAGACCGTCACGGCGATGACGACGGCCGCGATAATCATTGCGGCGACCGCCAGAAAGGGATTGATCCGCTGAAGCATCTGTGTACCCGGCTGGCTGGCCTGCCAGGCAATGACGCCAATGTTGTTCCCCCTTGGGGATTTGAGCTGATAGGCTCCAACCCCATCCCGTTCAACCTGATCCGGCGCCAGAACAAATCCCGCAAGACGCGACATGCTGGAGATATTGTTCAGTTTCTGGCCGCGCAAGGGTATCAGGCTGACGAGCACTGCCGGAGGTTTGCGTGAGGCGAAAACCGACTGGATCTGCGGGACGACAGCTGCTGCAGTAAAAAGGTGAGGTTCGCCGTAGAGCGAAACCTTGCCTGTTTCCGCTATGGACAGATGCGTTTCACCCCCCTTTGGCATGAAGCTGAACAGACCGGATGGTGTCTTCTGGAATGAGTTTATGTATTGGGCGCGGACCTTGGCGATCGCAGGCTTCAACTCGTCAACAAGTGCCGGGTTCAACCACTCGGTGTTATCATCATGTGCAAAGACGGAAGCGACTTCAAAGTCGGAACCGAAGAGAACAGATCGGTTGAAACCATGGTTTCGGGACAGCCAGTTCATCATGTTGTTGCGGATCCAGACCCGGTTGGCTTCCGGATCGTCCACAGCACGATAAGCTTCATCCCAGATAACAACGCCGGTTTGCTGCTTTGCAATGTAGTTTCTGGTGAGTTGCAACGCGCCAGCGACGAGCTTGTGCTGAGAGTCTTCAGCAGTTTCATCGGACAAATGCGCAGACCAGTTCAATAGTGCGAAAATACCGAGAACAGATGTCAACACGACAATCAGCATCGGAAAAATGATCGCACTGGCGATTTGACCGCCTGAGTTTTTGATCGATCTGTTCATGTAAAGGCCCAGTTCATGCGGGCGAGTATTGTCGATGCGAGTTAATGAATGCTTCCAGTATCTTAGTAAAATAATGGGAAAATTGAATCTATCTGGTTCTCCTTGGCCGTGAGCAAGGAAACGGGCCGGATTTTGTATAGGGTTTTCTGGAAAAAAATTGAGTTTTTGGTTTCAAATCAGTTGAAGACCGCGCAGACTGACGTTGCTTCTAAGGCCGATAATCACATGATCATGAACTTCTATTCCCAGCGGGGCCGCGACGTCGATGATTTTTTTGGTCATCTGAATATCCGCCCGCGAGGGTGTCGGATCGCCCGAAGGATGGTTGTGCACGAGGATCAGAGCCGTTGCTGAATGTTCAAGCGCCCTTCGTATCACTTCGCGCGGATAGACGGGTGTGTGATCCACAGTGCCGGTTTGCTGAATCTCGTCCGCGATAAGACCGTTTTTCCGGTCCAGAAACAGAATGCGAAACTGCTCCACAGTGCACAGTTCCATCGATGCCTGCAGATAATTGATGACCTTTGACCAGGAATCGAGCAGCTGCCGCTCATTCAACTCGGCACGATGGTAGCGCGCGATGGCAGCATGAACGGCCTTCAAGGCGTCGACACTGACATCCGACAGGCCGTCAATTTCCTTCAAGCGCGCGCGAGGGGCTGCCAATGCGGCCGAAAAGGAACCGAAGCGGTGGAGCAGGGCTTTTGCAATCGGCTTCGTGTCGCGGCGGGGAAGGGCGGAAAACAACAGAAATTCCAGCAGTTCGTAGTCGGCCAGACCCTCCTCACCAGACTTGCGAAACCTTTCCCTAAGCCGTTGGCGATGCCCCTTGTTGTCCGCGGCAGCAGACACTTTTTCCGCAAGGGGCGAGTCCGGGTCCTTCATCTGTTAGATCGGGCTCTCGTCGCCCGATCGTCCGGGTTTGTGAAGACCGTTCGGAGAGGTGGTGAATATCTGGCACCCATCCGGCGTGATCCCGATGGAATGCTCGAACTGCGCGGAAAGAGACCTGTCTCTCGTCACCGCCGTCCACCCGTCGCCGAGTACTTTCACGTGCGGACGGCCCAGGTTGACCATCGGTTCGATCGTGAAAATCATGCCCGGTTTCAACTCCACACCTTCGCCGGGGCGTCCGTAATGGAGAATGTTCGGTGTGTCGTGGAACAGAAGGCCAAGACCATGTCCGCAGAAGTCGCGCACAACCGAGCAGCGCTGCGCTTCGACATATGTCTGGATAGCCGCGCCAATGTCACCGGTGGTGTTGCCCGGTTTCGCAGCCTCGATTCCGCGCATCAACGACTCGTAGGTGACATCAATCAGGCGTTCCGAGGCCCGCTTCAACTGGCCGACCGGGTACATGCGGCTGGAATCGCCGTGCCAACCATCGAGAATGAAAGTCACATCGATATTCACGATGTCGCCTTCACGCAGTGCCTTGTTGTTCGGAATGCCGTGGCAAACGACGTGATTGATCGATGTGCAGCAGGACTTGGTATAGCCGCGATAATTCAGGGTCGCCGGCAGGGCGTCATGATCCAGGCCGTACTGATACACGAAATCGTCGATTTCCTGCGTTGTCGTTCCCGGCCTGACGATGCCTGCCAGTTCGTCAAGACAGGTCGCCGTCAATTGTCCTGCGCGCATCATGCCTTCAAAATCTTCCGGTCCGTACAACCGGACCTGACCGGTGTTTTTCAGCGGGGCTTCTGCGGCGTCGATATAGCTGACCATGGAAAATGTATCTCGTTGCGTGGGCGGTACCGCACATAATACGGGTTTCAAACGGGACGGAACACCCTGTTAATCTGTCTCATTGAATTGTTCACATACCTTCCGGCAGCGTCAATTTCCAGCTTCGGTTTCAGCAAAAACAAGGCCGCAGTGAAAACTTGTTGCAAGATTATCCAAAAGCGCATGGTTCGGCTTGCGAAAGTTTTTCAGGCCGGATAGGTGAAAAGAACAAGCGGGCGTGGTGGAACTGGTAGACACAAGGGACTTAAAATACTCTATACCCTTTGTTGCCAGATAGCAGACATCAACAATCTCCAATAAATTCAACAAGATAATTGTTCAGGTCATAGCCTACGGGATATATCTGACAGATCGATAAGGATTTTGTGTAAATGCTCACCAAACCGGAAGTTTGTGCGACTTTGATGGAAGAGCAGGTCAGGATCGAGATGACCATGCGCGACGAGGGCATCATCCGGTACGAGAAGAACCACGACCGGAAGCCCCTCGAAGACACCAGCGCCGGACGCAATCTGATCCGCGCCGAGATGGCTGCTGTCGCTGCCGGGATCGCCGAACTGCATCAGCTTAAGGGCACTGCCATGCGCCGAGCTATCGCTGCCCGCAAGCTCCGCGAGATCGACGCCAACCGCGCCGCCTATGTTGCCTTGAGGGTGATGTTCCACATGGTCAGCATGAACCGCGTCTCCCTTCAGAATACGGCCCTGGCTGTCGGTCGGGCGATTGAGGATGAGCTGCGCATCGACAAGTTCGAGCGTGAGAATGAGGGTGCCTACAAGTGGCAGGAAGCGCAGCTCAAAGCTCGCGGCATGAACGAAGCCCACTCCCGCAAGTCGATGGTCTTCCGCATGACACAGAAGGGTGTCGAGTGGGACGACTGGGGGACCAACGACAAGGTCAACGTCGGCATGAAGCTGATCGAGATCGTCACCAGCACGACCGACCTGTTCTCCTACAGCACCCCGGCATCAGCCAACGAGGGTGGCCCAGGGATGGCCAACAAGGCAAGGCGCGGGAAGAAGTACGAAAGGCAGATCGAAATCTCCGAAGCGGGGAACCAGAAGCTTGCACAAATAGTTGACTATGGGAAAACGTTGCGACCTGTTCTGCTTCCTACTGTGGTGCCGCCAAAGCCCTGGGCAGCGCTCGACAGGGGTGGTTACTACACCCCATACGTCCCCAAGCAGCGCCTCGTGAAGGGCCGGATGGTCGACTGGAAGCGGCTCAAGACAGCTGACCTGTCGCTGGTCTACCGGGCGCTCAACGCTGTCCAGGAAACGCCCTGGCAGATCGACACCGAGGTCCTTGAAGTTCTCGAGCATCTGTGGACCACGGCCTCAGACTGGGGCGTGATCCCGAAGCGTGACCCGATCCCGGAGCTGCCGCCCTTCGATGGCGACACCGAGAGCGATGCCTTCAAAGCCTGGAAGATCCAGCAGCGAACCATCAAGGACAAGAACGTGGCCAGCCGCTCGAAGCGTATGGCTTTCCTCCGCACCATTGAAACCGCACGGGAGTTCGCAAAGTATGAGCGCATCTACTTCCCCCACAATCTGGATTGGCGAGGCCGCATCTATGCCATCCCTGGACTTCTCAATCCCCAGGGAACCGGCTTCGTCAAGGCGTGCCTCAAGTTCGCTGAAGGCAAGCACATCACTGACAACGTCGCCCTCGGCTGGCTGTTCATCCATGGTGCCAATGTCTGGGGCGAGGACAAGGTATCCCTGGAAGACCGCATCAAGTGGGTCGAAGATAACTTTGACATGGTCCGACGGGTGGCAGCCAACCCATACGATAACCGTGAATGGACTGAAGCGGATGATCCATTCCCATTCCTACAGTGGTGCTTTGACGTGGTCGGAGTTGTCGACCTTGGAAAGCCGAGTTATCTCGCAGTTGCTATGGACGGGTCTTGCAACGGCATCCAGCACTTCAGCGCCATGCTTCGGGACGAAGTGGGTGGACGATCCGTCAATCTTCTACCGTCTGATAAGCCAAATGACATCTATGCCGACGTGGCAAAGCGAACTCTTGAGATCCTCATGGAGGGCGACCCCGACCCGAAGCGTAACCTATGGGCTGAAACCTGGGCAGCTGCGGGGATCATGGATCGCAAGATCACCAAGCGGCAAGTCATGGTTCTCCCGTATGGTGGCACTACTTCAAGCTGCCTCGAGTACACCCTCGACGCTGTCCAGGAGAAGCTTGGAGACGACCGATCGCTCTTCGGAGATGACCACTACAAGGCCTGCTGCTTCCTCTCCAGCGTGATCTGGCGGGCTATGGGTGACGTGATCGTCGGTGCCCAGACCATCAGGAACTACATGCAGAAGCTGACCTGGAGAGCATCCAAGTACAGCAACAAGGGCATCACCTGGACAGCCCCCAGTGGCTTCCCTGTCACCCAGGAGTACCGAAGCCTGGACTATCGCCGGGTGAAGACGCAGTTCCACGGTCAGGTGGTCAAGTTCCGCGACTACTATCTGATGGACGAGATCGACCAGCATCGGCAGAAGAACTCCGTGGCTCCCAACTTCGTGCACAGTATGGACGCGGCAGCTCTGGTTCTCACTGTCGACCACGCCATCGACCACGGGATGTCGGCCTTCGCCATGATCCACGACAGCTACGGTGTCCATGCCGCTGACGCGGAGACGTTCGCCAAGCTGATCCGCCTGGAGTTCATCACCATGTACGAGGACTATGACGTGCTCACTGACTGGGCCGACAGGCTCTTCCTCGAGCACTTACCAGCCGAGGAGCAGAAGGAAGACCTTCCCACCCGCCCCAGGAACGGAAAGCTTGATCTCCAAGAGGTGCTCAACGCTGACTATTTCTTTGCCTAAAATCCTGACAGATAGCAACGATATCGATCTGGCAAATTTAAAAGTACCCTATTAGCAAATTACGAAAGGTTCGCCCAATGCAGCACACAGAACATCTCGACCTGATCGCTCTAACCCAAGCAGTCGAGAGCGGTGAGATCGTCGAGCAAGACGTTCCTGCTGTTGATTTGCGCTGAGAACTGACCCGGTAGCCCCATAAATTTTCACTGAGAACTGACCCATGTAACGACGCTACCCTGACGCTTTTGTTTGGGGGAGATATGGAGTGATCGACATGGGATTTTTAAGTGTCATTCGACGTTGGGCATTACGTGAAGGGATGCCCATTCGCGAGATAGCCCGCCGTACTGGTTTGTCTCGCAATACCATCAAGAAGTACCTGCGAGAGGGCGCTGTTGAGCCGAAGTTCAAGGTGCCCAAACGACCGAGTAATCTTGATCCGTATGCGGATCGTTTGTCTGCATGGTTGTTGGCTCAGACACGCAAATCGCGCAAAGAGCGGCGTACTGTGAAGCAGATGCACGCCGATTTGGTGAAGTTGGGCTATGCAGGATCCTATGCGCGCGTGGCCGCTTTTGCCCGTGCCTGGCGTGACGACCGGCATCGTGCCGAGCAAACAACTGGGCGCGGCACGTTTGTACCGCTGGTGTTCCAACCCGGCGAAGCGTTCCAGTTTGATTGGAGCGAAGACTGGGCCACTATCGGCGGTGAACGGGTCAAGCTGCAGGCGGCCCATACGAAGCTCTCGCACAGCCGAGCTTTCTTAGTGCGCGCCTACCCATTGCAAACGCATGAGATGCTGTTCGATGCCCATTGGCATGCGTTCCGCGTTTTTGGCGGTGTGCCTGGACGCGGGATCTATGATAACATGAAAACTGCTGTTGATCGCGTTGGCCGTGGCAAGCAGCGTGACATCAACGCCCGGTTTAAGGCGATGGCCAGTCACTATGTTTTTGAACCCGAGTTCTGCAATCCAGCGGCAGGTTGGGAGAAGGGCCAAGTCGAGAAGAACGTCCAAGATGCGCGCAATCGCATGTGGCAGGTCATGCCTGTCTTCAAGGATCTTGATGAGCTGAACCAGTGGCTGGAAGACCGCTGCATCGCCCTTTGGATTGAGACACCGCACCGGGATCTGCCCGGCACTATTGCTGACATCTGGGAAGCAGAGAAGCCCATGTTGATGGCACTACCACCCGCCTTCGACGGTTTTGTGGAGCACAGTAAGCGTGTGTCGCCAACATGTCTGATCACCTTTGAGCGTAATCGCTACAGCGTGCCCGCGAGCTTTGCCAACCGGCGCATCAGCTTGCATGTCTATCCAGAACGGCTGGTCATAGTGGCCGAGGGGAAGACCGTTTGCACACATGAGCGCATCATAGATCGATCACACCGCAAACCTGGTCGTGTTATCTACGACTGGTGCCACTATCTCGCTGTAATCCAACGTAAACCCGGTGCCTTGCGCAACGGAGCACCGTTCATTGAGATGCCAGAGGCCTTCCGCAACTTGCAAGGTCACATGCACCGCAGAGAAGGTGGTGACCGCGAGATGGTCGATATCCTGTCATTGGTTTTGCACCATGATGAGAATGCCGTTCTGTGTGCCGTAGAATTGGCGTTGGAGGCTGGCGTGCCAACCAAAACCCACATTCTGAACTTGTTGCACCGGCTGATAGACGGAACGCACACTGATCTCCCAGAGGTCGATCCACCTGATGCACTCGCATTGGAAACAGCGCCAAAGGCAAACGTGGACCGCTATGATGATCTGAGACAGGCTGGGGGCAAGTACCATGCGTCATGACCCAGCAGGAGCCTCAATCGTGATCATGCTGCGCAGTCTCAAGCTCTATGGCATGGCAAACGCCGTAGAAGATTTGGTCGCCCAAGGCGGGCCTTCTTTTGAGGCCGCAACACCTATGTTGTCCCAACTGCTCAAAGCGGAGATTGCCGAAAGGGAAGTGCGCTCAATCACATACCAGACAAAGGTGGCCCGCTTTCCGTCATACAAGGACCTCGCAGGCTTTGAGTTCAAATCTAGTGACATCAATGAAGCGACCGTCAAGCAACTGCATCGGTGCGAGTTCATGGAGAACGCTGAGAACGTCGTGCTCATCGGCGGGCCTGGAACGGGCAAAAGCCATGTCGCGACCGCCATCGGTGTTCAGGCCATTGAACATCACAGGTGCAAGGTCCGCTTCTACTCAACCGTCGAACTGGTCAACGCGCTAGAACAGGAAAAGGCGCTCGGCAAGACCGGAAAGATGGCAGAGATGATGACCAAAATTGACCTCGTGATTTTGGATGAACTTGGCTACTTGCCGTTCAGTCCATCCGGCGGCGCACTACTGTTCTATCTACTGAGCAAACTCTACGAGCGGACCAGCGTCATCATAACCACCAACCTCAGCTTCTCAGAATGGGCCCAGGTCTTTGGAGATGCAAAGATGACAACCGCGCTTCTGGATCGCCTCACACACCGCTGCCACATCCTGGAAACTGGAAACGACAGCTACCGCTTCAAAGCCAGCTCAGAGGCTGCAAAGAAAAAACGAAAGGACAAGCCAACATTGACCAACACGTAACCGCTGATACATAAACAAAGGTGGGTCAAATCTCGGTGAAAATACCGGGTCAGTTCTCAGCGCAAATCAACACCTCCGGGCTCGCTACCGCTCAAACCGACATATCCACGCTTCAGGGTCAACAGCTCGGGATTGGCCAAACATGGTCGAACCCTGGTCGTACAGCGGGTCTTTGGTATCAGAATACTGATGCTAAGCCCATGATGGTGGGCCTTCGAGGCGGAAGTAACGGAGCAGCATCTCTGGATTACTCACTGGATGGGTCCACGGCAGTTCTCACCTTCAACCACAACTCCGTGAATGGTGCCCAATTGTGGAACACCATCATCATCCCGCCCGGTCACTATTACCGGTTCGGCGGTTTTCACAGCAACTTTTTCGAGTTCTCATAAGGAGGCCACATGACTACGGGATTTTATCATCCATCAAAGGGCGTGTGGTTTACTACACGTGTACCTACTTCAGAATTTTTAGCATCGTACCCAGAAGGTACGGTGTCGGGCGTACCTCATCCTCCGCTGGTGGGTGAGTACACTTACGACCCTCATAAAAACAGCTGGTCTGAAGTCGAACAGGTCCCACCAACACCCGAAGAAATCCGAGCAGCTATGCCGTCACTCACTGCTCGGCAGTTTCGCTTGGGCCTCCTCGCATTCAGCATCTCTCCCTCAGAAGTCGAGGAGAAGCTCAACGCTATCCCAGACGCCACCGAGAAGGCGGTTGCTATCACCGAATGGGAATACGCCACAAACTTCGAACGGTTGCATCCGCTTGTCGTTGATCTCTCGGTGTCACTCGGTTTCTCGCCTGAGCAGATAGACAGCATGTGGATGCATGCAGAGACGCTGTAGGTGTGGCCATGAATGAACAAGACGCTGGGGCGCTGCTTCGCGCCCTGGGTCGTCTGGAAGGCAAACAGGACCTCATCCTCCAGAACCAGACTGACACCCGAAAGGAACTCAAGCAGGAGATCACGACGATCCGAGAGGAGATGAAGGCCGGTGACGAAACCAACTCGTCCCGCATCAACGCCCTGGAGCGGAAGATGATCTACTTCGCAGGCGCAGCTGCTGCAGCCTCCGCGATCCTGTTCAAAGTTCTCGACAAAACCCTCATCACCAAGTTGCTATCATGAAGACAAACGAAAGCTCTATGGCGGAGCTGTTCGATGAATTTGCGCTGGCCCTCAAGGAAAAGCTCAAAGACAAGGACATCAGCTCCTCCGACCTCAACGTCGTGAGGCAATTCCTCAAAGACCAGAACATCCAATGTGAGCGCACCCCGGAGAACCCTCTGGGCCAGCTCGTGGATGAACTCCCTGAGTTCGACGAAGACGGAAATGTCATCCCAATCGGTAAGGCTCTCTAAGCCTCTCTGAGTGGCTCTTATAGCTCTCCGGTGTGATTGCGCATCGGAGGGCCTTAACGGCTCCTCAGCACCCCTATATTCAAATCCTAGACACATGGAGAAGGTTTCTAAATGTCAAATTCTAACATGATGAACTCAACCACGCTGTCGAACGATCCCCTGAAGGAAGACTTCAGGAAGTTTCTGTTCGCTGTGTGGAAGCACTTGAACCTGCCGGACCCCACACCCGTGCAGTACGACATCGCCCAGTGGCTCCAGCATGGCCCCAAGCGTATGGTCATCGAAGCGTTCCGTGGCGTTGGCAAGTCATTCGTCACAGCCGCCTACGTACTGTGGGAACTCTACCGCGACCCGCAGAAGCGCATCATGGTCGTCTCCGCGTCTGGTGGACGAGCGAAACAGTTCTCGATCATGGTCAAACGCCTGATCCGCGAGATGCCGCTCCTTGCCCACCTGATCCCTCGCACAGAGCAGCAGGATAGTAACGAAGCATTCGACGTCGGCCCAGCAATCGCCGACCAGTCGCCGAGCGTGAAGTCTGTTGGCATCACCGGCCAGCTCACCGGCTCGCGTGCTGACATCATCGTCGCCGACGACATTGAGGTGGTGAACAACTCCGACACGCAGACGAAGCGTGACCTGCTCTCAGAGCTGATCAAAGAGTTCGACGCCATCCTGAAACCGCTAAAGACATCCCGCATCATTTACCTGGGCACGCCTCAGACTGAACAGTCGATCTACAACAGGCTTCCGGCCCGTGGTTATGCAATCCGCATCTGGCCCGCCAGAATGCCCTCAGAGGCAGCTATGGCGAAGTATGGCGTATCACTAGCGCCGTACATCAAACGCCTCTCAGAGGGAATCTCTGTGGGTTCTACGACTGATCCGCAGCGCTTCTCAAACGAGGACCTGGCTGAACGTGAACTGTCGTATGGCCGAAGCGGATTTGCCCTGCAGTTCCAGCTCGATACCAGCTTGAGCGATGCCGACAAGTACCCCTTGAAGCTCCGCGATCTGATCGTCATGGACGTTCCGATGTTCAAGGCTCCGGTCGATGTCGCCTGGGCAGGAAGCCCCGAGTACACCACAAGCGATCTGCCGACGAATGGCCTGGACGGCGATACCTTCCAGAAGCCCATGATGATTGATCCGCTGTGGGCTGAGTTCGAAGGCTCCTACATGCAGGTCGATCCCTCAGGCCGAGGCAAGGACGAGACGGCAATCGCCATCACCAAGAAGTGCAAGGCCATGATCTACCTGACGATGGTGAAGGGTCTCAAAGGTGGATACACCGATAGCACCTTGGAGCTGATCCTCAGGACAGCCCAGAAGGAACGCATCAACGTCATCGGCATCGAGCCCAACTTCGGTGATGGCCTGTTCGCTCGGCTCTTGAAGGGTAAGGCCCAGGAGACTGATCCCACCACCGGCAAGCCCTTCTATGACTGCGGTCGTATCGAGGACAGTGCCTGGGTCAACACCCAGAAGGAAGCCAGGATCATCGACACCCTGGAGCCAGCTCTCAACCAGCACCGTGTGGTCGTGGATCGCTCCTGTATCCTGGACGACTATCACTCCACCGAGAGCGACGCCTACAGCCTGGACGAACAGCAGCGCTATCGGTTCTTCTACCAGATGACCCGGCTTACTCGAGACAAGGGCTCCCTGGCCAATGACGACCGTGTAGACGCTGTTGCCGGTGCCGTGGGGTATTGGACCGAGAGGATGTCCGAGAGCACTGAGCGGGCTGCTGAGGCCCACAGGGACGAGCTTATGAACCGGGAGCTGGAACGCATCATGTTCGCCATCGAGAACCCTGGTGTGGACTACGATCAGTTCCACTCTGGGAGCAGCTTTGGGGTCTCTTCGATCGGTCACGTAAGGCACTGACCCACAACGATAATTTAAAAGTTCCCTATTAGCAGGGGGCCGCTGTGTGCTTATACTGTAAGCTATAGCTTTAAGCTACGTGTTAGCTGGGCTCCAGTGGCCTCCTGTGTGTGTCTCCTTTGAGTGTGGGGAGTGGTAGTGATGATCAATCACTCCCCCATTCTAGTGTAGAGACCAGAGTGAAGCTCTACGTGTGCCGACAATAGGGATGAGGTGAGAGGCAGGACAAAGCCCCCCTCGCTACGCTCGGTACACTTAAAGCTCCACTTTAGCTCCGTGTGCGCTGGAGCTTGAAACTCTCCTTGACAATTCGACATATGCTGGTGCCCAGGGGAAGGTAAGCCAGCCCCCGCAGCAAACGCCCAAAGCCCCACTCAAAGCCCAACCCCAGGCTGGAGCTGCGGGCGTGCTGTGGCAGACCACCTGAGACCCCGTGTTCGTCAGGAGAAGGTGCGACTGTTTTTGAAACAAAAATCTCAGCCACCCACTCGATAAGAAAGGATCGCGAGCACCCCCCGTGCCACCCTTCGATCTGACCTGACGTTGCGTCGAGCAGGCCTTTTCACACAGCATTTGACGAATCTCAGAGCTAAGTCATTGATATCATTGGGATCGAAAGGGATTGTAGATACTCTTTCACTGGATAGGCCCCCCCATTTTCTGCGGTTTGCTGGGCTGTCGGCGGGCTGGCACGTGTCTACACTTCCCGACTGGTGATTTTTCAATTTGAACAATGGCTTAGAAAGAGCCTGATTGTTCACTCAAAGTGGACGCTTCAAGCTGCATCGATCACGGTCAATCATGGTCTCAACCGCCCAAAGGAACGCTCGCAGTGCCGCTGTTGGCTGAGCTGTCGGCTTGCTGGTCGCTGAGCATGGGGCTGGGGCTGTGTGTTCCGGTCTGGTTCTTCCCGCGTTCACCATACGTTGTCAGATCGACTGCAACATATTGCATGTTCCCA